GGTCCCTTAGGGCACACATTGACCACATCTTAGCTTTATGATAGGATGTGACATGAGCTCATAGCACAGCTTGGATACAGCAGGGATTACAGATACAATTATGCATCACTGCTCTTGGTATCCAAAGCAGGCCCCTCAGTCAGATCTTTCCACCCAGAATTTCCTGGAATCCCGTGACCTGAGTACTCATAGTATAACATCCCTCAGCTGAGCCATTCTCCTCCAGACTTCCTCCTCCACTGGCTACACATTTTCACTAAACTTTCAGAGTTTAATTACCTTTCAGGCTTCTTCCCTTTTACAAAATTTGGCTGAAATATTTGAAGACAGCTGTTAGAGGGTGGGAAAGCAGGAGGAAAGGGAAAGGTGCTGGTTACACTCCCAGACATGAAAAGTGCACTCAAAAGAAAAAAGGCAAAGCAAAAAAATTAATTCCAAGTAAGTTCTGCACGTAATACATTCCATAAAAGCTGCAATGTGTAAACAAAAGCAGTAAAACGCACTTTGCCATATATTATCAGATAACATGCAGAAACAAACAAATGGATTATTCATTACAAACTCCAATGAGTAATGTGTTTTCAAATTCATATTGCTTTTCCTTATAGCTGTAAAGAGATTACTTTGTTTAAATGCATGAATTGTAGCTTCGCAAAGATTACTAAATAATTTTAAACCACATCTTCAACATTAGAACAGTCAAAATTTCCCCTCAGAGCGGCCCCATGCTGAACCTAAGTTGACTTAAACCAATAGAGAAGACTATTTGCATGTTCCTAAAAGACATAGTGGGTAATAAAATTCCTACACTGATTTTCAGGCACAGACATGGAAAACTTTATTTAAACTACTGGTCATTATGGTTTTGTTTCACCTATAACACATAATTGTATTACAACATATATTCTTAATTTAGGGTACTGCAGACAAAAGTAATGATGTGTAGATGGACCAGGGCATTGAGAGGCTTTCAGATACTATCAGAGCACTACTATAATAAATACCTCTGTGTAAAAGTAGAGATCTTCTAGTGTCCTTTAGAATTTATTAAAGGTCCTTCCCCAAATCAGTGTCACAAAAATTATTTTCTCTGAAACATCCATATGTGTCCCCAAAAGATAACCAGGATTTGTGCAAGTGGTCATTGTCAGCTGCTGGTTTGCAGGTTATAAAATGTTCTTCAGCCTGTCAGAGCAGGTACTTTTCCTTTTTTAGGTAATCCCAATTTAAATTTTTTCCATATAAGCAATATTTACCTCTTTTTCCTCAATCCTGGATACCAGAAATGCACTTTCTGCCTAAGAATAGCTTCCACCTTTTTCTTTTTTAAGTGTTTTTTGTGCTCTGTGGCAGGCATCTCCTGAAACTTGCATGTTTATGCCCAGTTGCCTTTCCCTACAATCCCTTAAATCCTCAGCTTTTCCTCTCTCACAAATAACTAAAGAAAAAAGTGTTTTTTCCCCATCTCCACCCCCCTCAGCAATAATACAAGGCAAAAAAGTCTTTCCCAGTTTCCAAAGATGGATAAAACCAGTCTCAACTGACAATTACCTCCTTCCTCTCTGAGCTTTCACTTTCAGAAGCTAAACTTCTCGAAGAAACTTTCCTTCAGAAAATACTGAGTCCTGGCTGGTTCCAGTCATGCTGCTAAAGAAATAAAAGGTATTTAAATCAGGCTGCTATCTAAACTGTACTAAATATTTTTGTCCTGAATGAAATATCTCATAAGGATGAAGTTAGGCCTACACTCCAGTCTCAGAAAGGTTTCTCAATTAGTACTTAATTGAAATTGCCCAGTGTTTGATAATATCCTACTATTTTTGTGAACTTTGCTAAAATAAGACTGCTTGAGAGCTGAAAACTCTCTGAAACTTTCTCAAGAAGCATATGTAATATTACTGCCACAAACTACAACAGGCTGCATCTTAAATCCATACAAAAAAAAAGCCACAACAAGAGCTCTTGGGATAGATTTATTGTTAAAATGTACCTTCAAGTAGACTTTGCAAGTTAGCTGAAATCCAAATACTTCCTGGCACCTTGCTCAGTTTTATAGAAATCTGCCAAAAGCTTAGAAAATTGGGTGTCTTTCCACTGACAGACTGCTTAGTGTCATGTCAGGTACTGAAATCTGAAAATGCCTACAGATAGCCAAGATTCCCAGCCTCACTCTCTTCAGAACAAGGACTCCACATTTCTATTTTCTTTTAAAACTGAAGCAGCATTAGGGTTTAAAATCTCAGTCTCCATGAAGTGGACTTAAACAGTGACCTTCATTTGATATATCAATGTTCAAAGCAGGGTATCAGCCTTGTATTTACATTTCCAGCCTCCCCCAATTCCTGCAGCAGACCAACCCTTGAAAAGTGCTGTTTTCCAGAGAGCTCTTTCAGGCAAGGTCCCTTTGGCACTCACTTTTAGAAACAGATATGAAAAATAGAGTTACTATTCCCACATAGTTCCTCCCACCTTGACTGTGCCTTTTCCCTCTCCTTGCTCCCCGTGTTCACGAGTTGGTGGTGACATTACATTTCAGCCTCTTTTGTAGCCCCAAAAATTACAACTTTTTTTTCATCTTCACAATGACAAGTTTAACAGACAACAGCTGCAAAGCATGATATCTCACCTGGAATCACAGTACTCACCATTTGAGATCCCCCTGGTGCAGTTGTTGGCCTTGTGTTTGAATTCTGCCACAGCTCCTCAGTGAGTTGAATTAATCTTACTTAAAGTTTTTTGCAAAGCACTGGAAGTTTATTTGTAGGACTAGGAACATAAGTGCCTTTCCAAGATTACAACCACCTGCAAAGCCATCCTCTAGTTTTTTGTCACTGATCAACATGAGGCTGATTCCCAGGACCTTAAGATGCATCATAAAATCATAAACTCTTAGAATCTTTTCAGTTGGAAAAGACCTGTAAGACTTTTCACCCACCACTGACATATCTACCGTGAAATTCTGTCCCCTAACACCACATCTACCTTCAGTGATGATGATTACACCACTTCCCTGAGCAGCCCATTCCAATGTTCAACAACCATTTAGGTGAATATTTTGTCCTTATATCCAACCTAAGCTTCCCATGAGGCAATGTCCTCTCATCCTATCACTCATTACCTGGGAAAAGAGACCAATTCCACTTGGCTACAACATCTCTAGAGCAGTTCTAAAGACCAATAAATTCCCCCTGGGCCTTCTTGTCTCCAGGATAAACCACCCCAGCACCCAGATCCTCATCCCCAAGCCTGTAGCATTGCACAGGGTTCTGAACTATTTTGACAGTCCTGAAAATTATCTGAGGACAGTGGAACAGGATTTTCTTTTGTTTCTTTTCACAGGTTTAGAAATTGATTTCTTGTGTCTCTGCAAAAAAAATCCTTGGCATGAAATTATGCAAAATAATCACTTATGTACCTAGAGCTGGTTTCATCCCAAAATTTAAAGTATAAAAACTGGATTAATATAACTGCAATGTCTCTGCCAGGAACATAATGGAAGGAATGGGTTCAAATTTGAAAGGGTTGCTAATGAGACATTGATTAAAAACCTCATCTATAATGCTGGAAAAACTCAACTAAACATTCTGATGCTCAAGAAGCTCATCTAACATGAATCAGCTGGCTTAACAAACCACATTACTTTAAAAAGAGAAAAGAAAAACACCAAAATGGTAGGTAACCAGGGAATTCATCCACTGTGCATAGAAAAACACATTCTATAACACAAATTATATTACATTATAAACACAAATTATAACAATTTTACAGTCCTGTCTTGGGGATGCAATTGCTAAGGGCAGTTCATTGCTTTCCTTTCATACAAAAATGCCTTCTGCACTCTTGAGTGGCAAACCAGAGCTGTCCTGCCTGGCTCACCATGCTCCTCTCAGCTGAGCTAATAACTCCTGTTAGGCATCACTTGCCATTGGATGTTCTGGTTAATCTCTTCAGCTTTGCTCATTTTATTTTTTAGCAAAAGTGCATGAAATGTTGTCGACTGCCACATTATCCTCACTTAACCTGCATGGCATTAACATGTCTTTCTGTTTCTTGGCTGGCAATAAGCCCTTAAGTAGCTCTTCTTGCTTCAAACAGTTTAATTAAACATACTTATGCAAAACCCCTGACCAGTTCTTCGTTTTTCAGACTGCTCTTTCTGTACTGCAGAGTTAGATGGTGCACAGGTTAGGACAACCTGTTCTTTCAATCAGGAACAATTTCAGGACTGTGCCAGCTTCATTTTGTTTTTCACTACTCCCTGGCAGAAAGGCATTTCTCATTTGGTAACTGTTCTTCCCCGGACAACAGAAGAACTGGTTTTGCTTTAACTTAAAGCCTTAGTTACCCAATCTTTCACACCAAATATGTGCACAGACATAAAAGTATTCAGCAAGTTGTCTGAATATCATTTTGAAGAGCATTTTAGTCTGGTGCAATTTCCCCACCTGAGGATATAATTATTCAGTAACTGGTAGGTCAGCAAGTTCTTTAATCAGTACATGTCATTTCAGAAGATGTACCAGCTGGTGCAATTTTCACAAGACATGAAATTTAAAAATCTGTAAATGAGATTATGGCAAATAAGAAGAGAGCAGATATTAAATGATGAAAAAAAATCCCCAAAACAAGAACCCCACAACAAAAGAAACTGAAGGATCATAGGCCTTTCTTCCAGTATTCAGCTCTTAAAAAATTGATAAAAAATGACTGCTAGAGTAGAGTTTTGGCACTAGGAAATTGTGTTTGTAGTAGGATCAGCTCTGAATGCAAGTAAAACACAGGAATGACAACTCTGAAGAAGAAGAAGGAATTATTTTTAGGTGAAACATCTGTGATGAATAAACTATTGGGATACTGACGGTTTTGTTCTTAACAAAGCCCAGACTTCTACAGGTACAGCAAATAATAAATTAAATTCATGCAACAAGGAAAAAACATCTCTAATTTCACAAAAATTATATCAGAACTTCCAGAGTCACAAGACAGGGAGACAGGAAAATAGAGGTTGTGGGTAGAGGAAGCACTGCATAAGACTCACTGCATGGGGTTAGGACACCACAGACCACAAATGGTAAGTTCTGCACATTCCCTTAGAGGAAAGGCACAAGCACAGCACTGCTTTCCTTCCCTTCAACTTGTAACAGTCAGTTAATTCTCTGGAAATAAAAAAAAAAAAAAAATAGAAAAAAGAAAAATCAAAAACCTGTCCTGGTTTCAGATAGCAATAGCTGCACCCTGCAGCATCCTGCAGCATCCTGCAGCATCCTTCACCTGGCTGCTGGCTGCATGTTCAGCTGCCTGTCCTGCCAGCAGAAGGAGGTTACACCCACATGCAGATGAAGGCACAGCTCCAGGCTCACACACCCATGGACAGCCCAGCTCCAGAGGGACACCGGGAGTGTTGGCAGCACATGCTGGCAGCCAGGTTACCTTCTCTGCCTCTGGGGAAGGGCAGCAGCTGTCAGACAAAACATGCTGATTTGGAAATTAATGATTCACCTGCCAAGCCAATAACTCAGCTGTGCTCTCCTCTGTCAATGCTCTCCAGAGGAGCACGAAAGGGCCAGTGGCTTTGTCAGCATTATGGCAGGGCAACTTTCTTATACGACCAAAGAATTTCTTCCACTGTCTTCAAAAATGCAGGTAATGCATTTCTGAGTTAAGGTGATGAGTTAGGGGTTACTCTGGGAAGAACAGAGTTCCTGTATAGGCATATACATAATCTTAGATGAAGCTTTGCACTTTCAAGGTGCTTTCAGTTTTTTTGAACACTTGATTTGTTGTTTCCTCGGATCTCACTACTTACAGAAAGCAATTTGCTTTTCGTTTTCAAAAGCTAATGTTGAATCAATAACTAGCTTCTGCTAGCAGTGTCTCTTGCTAAACATTGTGCTGAATAGACTGTGAGCAACAGGTACCACAGCTTTCACATGAAAGCAACTTAAGTAATAAGAATGTTCAAAATTAGGTTATTTCTCTATTTATCATTAACCTCCAGTTTGATATGGGAAATACAAAATATTTTTTAAAAGGAGCTCAGAGAATTAGAGTGGATTTTTTTCCTTAAGATAAAGTGTTTAGCTCAAACACTTTTAAAGTATGCATGGAGGCAGCAAAATATGTGATGTGTGGATAAATCAATAATATGGAATAAAATCTAAGAAAGGAAAGAAGGCACATCCCATGGAAGAGATGGAATAAGAGAAGAGAGGGTGCCTGGAGACATCACATCACAGCACCACAGGGAGAACAGAACTAGAAGACATTTTGCACTAAATGCATTTCTATCACAAAGAGTAATGCTCCTTGCAAGCATGAGGCATGGGCTCTTTTTTAAAAAAGGTGAAAAGTCTGGTATCAAAACTGAGTTGCCACATGAAGAAGCAAAATCTTCTTCAGAATGTTAGTCACTGCCCATATAAAATAGAAACTTAAAAAATGGAATCCTACCCAGTGTCAGCTTCTTCTCCAGAGTCATCAGGCTGGTACTCTCCTTGAGCAACACACTGACTTTCTAAATAAGTCATGACCCTTTCTCTACACTGCCTGATAATGTGAAATGCTGCACTATGTGACAGAATAATGCCTCATAGAAAGGTGTCTTTCAAATCATGTTCGCCTTAAAGTGGGATTTCTCCTCTTTTAAATGAGAAAACCTAGCAGGAGAGTTTTAAAAACATTTAGTACCCAGCCTCATCACCATCTGGTCAGATTTGATTATTATACAGTTGAGCAATCTCCTGCTAGCTGCACCACGGGGGAATTTCTTAAAAGGCTGCCATTTACCACTTATAACTGTAGCAGGGAATACGTAGAATATATGACTAGCATTTTGTGCCAAAAGAAGGGGCTTGCTTTGGTTTAGAGATGCTGATTATTTCACATGTAAACCAACAGATTTGTGTAGATAAAATCATTTACATGAAGAAAAACAGAAGGCATGCAAAGTGCCATTAAGGCTTCTGAGCCAAGCAGAACATTTACACCTGCACTATTTATTGATCACAAGAGCTCCCAATGCCAGTGCGTGTAAAAAATGGTTCCCTTTAAGAGAACAGATGCTTCATTGTTAATAGGAGTTTCACACATAAAAAATAAAAATTGTGGAAGACAGGGGAAGATATGTTCAGCCCCATATATTCACAATGAATATTAGAAACTCTTAATTAAGCTCTATACCATCACCATCAAAGCCGAGTTATTGTAGGAAGCAGAAGTTGCAAGAATACAAAAATAGGATAATGTTTGATCACTAAAGAATATTGTGCCGCCATGTGGGGAGAAAACATCCATAGATTGTTTTTTTACACATGGATAAATAAGAAAAAGAACAACTGTGAATGTCATGCCTGTGGAATGAAACAACTACATTACATACCAAAAATGAGAAACAAAACACAATGTGCTTGTCACAAGCACAGAAAATCTGAGTGAACTGTGATGCCACTATCACAGCATAATAATAAACAGATATTATCTGTCCTAGGGAATTATTTATACCTTTATTTTAAATGAAGTGTGATTCATTTGGGATTGGTTGTCTTGCTCTGACGATTTTAAGAGATTCTGAGCTCTGTACTTTTGAATTTAAAATGTTTTAAAATACACTTTATTGTCACTTGGACTCACACCTATCTGTAGTGGTTGCTCTTTTCCTGCTCTGGGAGAATAACCTGGACTAAAGACACCATCAAAGTAACCTTCTTGCTCCCTCTCACTTCTACAATCTTCTTAGCTAGAAATGTTATTGTGATTTTTGGTTATGGTTGCACAAAGACCCTGCTTTTACTTGCCAAGTTGATCATTTAACTGTTTCTCAAATGGCCAAAGCCATGCTAATCAAATAAAATCCTAATGGTTTATAACAAATCAAAGCCACCTATATCACAAGTTCATACATAATATTATGTTGAATTATTGTCTTCATATTTTCACAGAATTATAAGCTCCAGGACCAGATGTACTGCAAATATAGTAGAAACTGAATTACTTATTTGCTCTACACTTCCCTTGCTAAAATGCTGAAAGCATCTAAACACAGACACCTTAGTCAGAAACCTAAAAATGTTGCCAAATATTTCAGTATTTTTTTTAATTTTGTTGCCATTTCTACCAGTTATATATTTAATTGTAATGAAATTACTCATCTTCACTTGGTCAGGCACACACCCAAGCCAGTTGTCATATATGAATGACGTTAGTAAATTTTGGGTCCATAAACTTCTGTCATGGGAGTAAATTCTGGGATGCTAATAGCTGCAGAGCAGCTGGACAAAACAGTCCTCCCTAAATTCCATTTGCAAAGGTAGGAGAAATGATGCAATTAGGAATGGTCACAACAACATTCACATTTTTCCAGATTAATATCAATTCATGGATAGTATGGTGAGGTGTTTTGGCTTCTTCTCATCTCATGCCATGTTCTACATGCCAGTCTTGAAAACAGCAAATTCTTTAATTACTACTAATATAATACTTGGATTCTGGAACAGTCTCAGGGCTATGGACATCTGAAGAAGTAAGCAATATTAAGTACTGTCTTCTTTCTTCCTGTCTTTTGTAATGAGAACAAAAATAATCTCAAATGCCAAAATACTTGGAATACTTGACATTTCATCAATCCCTAAACCCATCCAATTCTTACTTGTTTTTTTCTTTATCCTCTGGAGACGGCAGCAATGGCTTTTCCTGTAAGAGCAAGAGTGTTCTGTAGCACACAAGTCTGGGAATACTTTTCATTGTCCTATCTCCCATAATGTCCAGTATCAGAGGTCAAGAATATGAGACACATAACGACACCACTGAGGTGTCCCCACAGCTTTCATGCTCTGTGACTGAGGGAGCCACAACAGACATCTCTCTGTGTTTATTAGCATCTGGAAAATTATGTTTTGTGTCTGTTGGTCTCTGCCTCTTAACCTGCCTGAAGTTTCTTCATCCACATCTATCAAAAAGGGATTAAGGAAACAGTTCTTTGAAAAAGCCCTTCTTTTGTTCTTGCTAAAGTTCAGCTGCTAAGTTCATTTGCTGCCTCTTTGGCAACTGTATTAGGAAGTCAGAGTGAATAGCTTTTCCTTACTCAGATTTTGATGTAACTTGGTTATAGCACAGAGCCAACATGTTGTTCTGTTGTACTGCTAAGGCTGGCCCTAAGGTCCTCTCAAAGTGTCACAATAAATGGGAAGCTGAATTTCAGACTCTGACAAAAATAATGGAGATAAAACCTAGATAGGAAAGGAAAAAAAAGATTATGCATATCATGAAAACTAGACCCTGAGTGGGCATGAAAAGCTCTTCTGCTCTCTGGGTTATAGCTGTACACCTTTTTAAAGGATGTATCAAGAAACAGACTTCAAAGTGCTATCCCTGCTTGGAAAAAAAACAAAACCTGCAAATACTGAAAGTTGATATCAAAATTCTAAGGTTAGCGGTTAAAAATAAAAAATTAAAAATAAAAATAAAAAATCACAGCAATTAATATATCTTGTCCTACAACAACTATGAAAGACAAGGGAACAGCAAAGCTTCTCTGCCTCTTATCGTATGAATTTTCTCAGATAACAATCTCATCTGAAAACAATTTGAAACAGTATTTACAGCAGGTTCTCAGTCTGCACAAGATTTAGGGTTTGACAAATTATATAGTAGTAGCATATTTGACTAAAGCATTTATGCACACATTAAATGATTTCTCAGTGCATACCTTCAGAAAATGATGGAATGCCTGAGCTATAGACTAATCTTTCACTATTTTCTCTTCATTGAAAACACATCTTCATTCTAAAGATCCTGCAAAAATCTCAACCAATGAGACATTTTCTAAGTAACCTAAAACCGTGTGAAAAATACCTTCAAAGAATTATATGGTGCTTGTTATTGATAAGCATGCAATTATTATTTTTTTAATATAAATATTCCAAGCTACTTTCCAGTTGCATAAACTGGAAAAATTATAGAAAAATCATTACAAGAATTTCTCTTCACTGTGCTTTGTAATTTTTAGTGCATGAATTGTCAAGGCTTTTTGTCTCCTTGGATGCACCCAAATATTCACAAGATACCAGAAACACATACTATTTTTGAAAATAAAGTTAGTTCAGGTGGCATAAATGTTAAATATAAACACTAATCTACATTTTAACCTATATTTTCTTCA